GCTGAAGATAGCCAGATCTGACTCTCATGAAACACTCAAATTTCCCAAACAATCGTCCTCAGCCCCATTATCACATTATCACTACTGTATTTATTGAGCACTTGCTATGTGCTAGGCCCTATGCAAAGCACTTCTCTGCCTACACCAGAGACTCTCAGCTACGATGATTTGCCCCACAGGGGACATTCAGCAATGTCTGATGATGTCTGTGTTGTCAATAACCTGGGCAGGGAGTCTGCTTGCATCTAGTGTGTAGAGAAGAAATGGATGCTGCTAAATCTTCCTGCGATGCACAGGATGGCCCCCGCAACAAAGAACGGTCTGGCCCCAATGCCAGTAGTATGGTGGCTGAGATCCCTCTCCTGACCAAGTCTTGAGGGAAGACTCCTGATTAGGATACGTCACAGGGAAGTCCCAGTCCAGAATGCCCTTCGTGTCCAGCTTGAAAAACCTTGCCTTACACTATCAAGCAGAGAATGGCCGAGAAGCCTCCCTTATGTGCTCAGGCCCAAACTGAGCTGCCATGGGGCCACAGGCCAGCCTCAGCCCCCAGGAGCTTGAGCTCATTTTACTTCTTTAGGTGATTCTATTCACCTCCTGCCTTGTTCCAAAAGTTGCTTGAGGCAGCCAAAACCAGTGATCATTACTGGTATTATTCGTGAGCGAGAAAGGAAATACACACAGTTCGATGGATAGGTATTCAAAGAAGTTCCTCAAGAGGAAATTCACCTGGAGCCATGGACAGGTGGGCAGTGGGATGACAAGAGGTACATTCAGGAGAAAGCTCATTAACTATCAGGAATTCTAGTAGGGGCAAGTAATGGAAACCTAACCCAAAGTGGGTTTCAAAAGAGAGAATGAGAGAAAAATTTAGTGGCTTATGTAACTAAGAAGTTCGGGGCTATGTCTGCTTCAGACACGGCTGGATCCAGGGGCATTGGTGATGCTTTTAGGATGCGGGCTGTCTCCTTCTCTCAGCTGTGCTTTGCCCGTGTTGGCTGTATTTGCAGGCAGTCTGTGCTTCATGGTGGCATAGTGGCCACAAATGCTCCGGGCTGACATCCCACTGGCTCAGCCACCTCGAGACAACAACATCTTCTATTCCGCAGAATGAGGTTCTGTTGGCTTTGATTGGTTCATGTGCCCACCCCCAATCAATGTAGCTAGGGGTCTGGGAAGTTCTAATGGGCAGCCCTGGCCCAAGAGTCTAACCCTGGGAATTGGGTCAGCCCACCTGACCCAGGCGGACCAAGGGCAGGGTGACACCCCGGGAAATATTAGAGTGAGGGCAATGAGCTGTAAATGCAGCATCTTCCACAGATACCCACGGAAGCTGACAAGGACCTGCGCTGAGCCTGGCCTCAAGCCCAGAAATGAAGCTGTCACCTTTCTGCCCTCGGGGAGGAGGGGAAGATATAAATAAGTGTAATTCAAAGCTCTGTGTGATATGTCCTGGGAGAAAGAAACAAACAAAAGGCTATAGACATTAGAGGCAAAGCCTCCGGACTCACCCCTGAGGTGAGAAAGGGCACTCCACTGCCAGGCGAGGCTTGAGCGAGTCTGAGGAAGTGTGAAGGGACAGCGTGTGTCTGAGGAATCAAGGGTCATCTGCTTGGTTGGCTGCACGGGGGACCAGGCTGCAGAGGTCAAGGAGATGGTGCAGGGCCCAGCTTACTCAGCCAAGGTGTTTAAACTTCATCCAGGTGGCAGCGGGAGCACCGACGGTTCTAGAGCAGAGCAGAGACAGGATCTAGAGTCGTGTTTTCGGAGGATGAGCTCGACAGGTGTGGAAGAAGGAAGGCTGGAACAGGGAGGACTGTCGGGCAGCTGTCACAATTGTCCTGAGGCAGGTACGGGGCGTCTGAACCAGGACGAGGCAGTGGGGAGGTGGCAGGTAGCACTTTCCTTGTTCATCTGCCTCCAAAACACGTTAACTCAACACACCTCAAGCTGAGCATGGCATCTGCCCCCAGGCCTGCTCCTTCCCCCAATATCCCCGTTATAGAAAATGGTCCCATCAGCCTCCCAGTTACTCAACCAGAAGCCGCAGATTGTCCTGGACTCCGCCCTTTCCCCATGACCTCCGTAGCACACCTAGCGGACAACACGGTGGCTCCAACTCTCAAAATACACCCTGAATGCCACTTCTCACTGCCGCCGTGCGCCAAGTCACTGCCCCCGGTTCCCCACCTCCACCCTCGCTATCCCCATCCCGGCGTCATTCTCCCCAGAGCAGCCAGAGGGAACCTCTAAAAGGACAATGTCTCCTTTTGTGACATGAATTTCAAAGGCAGTTCCTGTGCGGTCCTCCTCTGGTGGGTCTCCATCACACTTAGAAGGAAGTCCAAAATTCCCTGGCCCGGAGGCTCTGCGGATCTGGACCCGTGGCCCCTCGACCTCGCCTCCCCCACTCTCTCTCCCTCCCTCAGCTCCAGCCCCACTGGCCTCCTCGCTGTCTGCAAAAGGCCAAGCCATGCGCTACTCAAGGACTTTTCATTGTCCCCAGGGAGCAAGGCACATAGTAGGTGCTCAATAAATGTGGGCTGAACAGAAGCCTGGGAGATGGAGGCCTGAAGCCTGGCAGCAGTAGGGTGGCGGGGGACAGTGGGCAGATGCCACGGTTACCCAGTTATGTTAAACAAAGCCCTTGTACACCAGCTGATACCCGAGGAAGGGACCATGGCCACCCCAGGCTCATCCCCCACGTCCACTGAGCATCCCTGGCACTCGCAGCCATCCCCACAGGGCTGAGAGTCAGGAGAGAAGGAGGAAGGGAGCGTGAGGACAGAGGAAGCCTGTCCTTTGCCTGGGCCCAATATCCCTCTCCAACTCCTGGCCCTCCTCGGGAAGTCAGGGACACAGGGTGCAGCGGGGGGCCCAGAGCTGATGACCAGGTGGCAAGGGGGCTGGACGCGAGGACCTTGGGAGATCACCACACCACCAATTAGCCTCTGATACCTAAGTCTCTCCTTTCATTCTTTCTTAGAAAGATTAAAAGATCGCAAAGCTGCCTCCTTGACAAACACGCTGGACTTGACCAGTATTTGCCCAACGGCTCCTTGTGCTGTTGGTAGGACGTTTCTGTTTGAGCTGCCAAGTGGACTTGTCCAACACCAGAGGGTTCTGTTTGCTGTTACCAACAGGGGGACAGGAATCCTGGACATGGGACGTGGTCAGGCCTCAATATTGGGGAATGTCCTGAGAGCAGAGACCATTAGAGCCACTGAATAAGCCATGGCCAGGTGGGGGAACCAAGCCCCCTTGCAGGGGCATGACCCTGCCAGTGCATAGCAACTGCCAGAGCCAACCTGTTTTCAAATATGGAGACAGAAGACAGGAAGTGTCGGGCCAATGAGAGCTAAGCAGATCCGGAAGTGGAGAACAATGTCCAGAAAAGGGAATGGGGACTCCGGTTCCCACGTGGTGGGCTGGTGCTTTCGGTTGCCCAGCTCCCAGCCGACTCCCAGCTACAACGCAGCTAATTCTCAGCCACGCTTACTACGTGTCAGGCCGTGTTCCAGCATTTTACACGTGTGACTACAATTCACTGAGCACTGACCATATGCAGGACATTGTTCTAGACATTAGCAGTGAGCAAAACATCTCAAACTTCCTGCTTTTATGGAGGTGACGCTCTAATGCTGCAGCAAATAAGTATAACACATAGTGCGACAGAGGGTGATTAAGTGTTTTGGAGAAAGATAAAGAAGAGGGAGAGTCCATTTACAGGAAGGATTATCAGTGGCACAACATAATTGAGAGGCGAGTATTATCATTATTCCCATTTTGCAGATGAGGAAAACGGGCACAGAGAGGCAGTGTGACTTGCCCAAGGTCACTCAGCTGTTAAGTGGCTGAGACAAAGATGTAAACCTAAGCCCTCTGGCTCCAGAGTCCTGATTCCTGGGAGGAGGACAGCGGGCCCTCTGTCTTTAGCACAGACACCGACCCCTACATACAGCCCTGGGACAGGAAAGGACTTGGCAGGGAGCCAAGATGAGGAGGTTGAGAACTGGCTTTGGCCTTGGATCAGGTCCCGAACTTCCAGCCTTGGAAGGCATTTCTCCTCCCAAGGCCTCAGTTTCCACTTCTGCAAAATGGGGAACTGTAATTCCTGGAATGGGGGCACCCTGAGGTCATGGCTGGGAAACTCCTTCGTGAAACGGGCCGTGGTAACACCCCAACAGCTGCCACGCTTGCCCTGCAGCCCACTCTCCACCGGCAGCCAGAGGCAACTCCGTACAACGCAGTCAGACCTTGTCACTCCCAGATGCAGACCCTCCAACGACTCCATCTCAGAACCAAGTTCCAACCCCGCACCCTGGCCCGTGCGTGGCCCCTGATGTCCTCTCCCTTCGGTCACTCTATTGCAGCTGCCCTGGCCTCCTGGGTGCTCCTGTACAACACCCAGCTCCATCTTGCCTCTGGCTTTTGTGCTAGCCTTCCTCTCTGCCTGAACCGGTGCTGAGCGGCTCCCCGTCCCTTTTCCTCCTATATGGGCAACAGGACTCGCCCCGAAGCCAGGGCTCTGCTGTCCCCTTGGTGTCAAGACGCTCCACAGACAGACCCAGACGGAGACACAGACACGTGCAGAGGAGGGCAGACTCACTCAGCACACAAGGCACACAGAGTTGGAGACACACATGGAGCAGATACACATAGAGCCACAGATACACCAGGGAGATGCACTCACTCAGACAGACACAATAGACGCTGATAGCCACAAGCCTGCTCAGACACACTGCCACAGTGTGCAAGACATGCATGGACACACTCAGAGCCAGTGTCAGACATACATTCCCTTCCATACACACTCGCCCACACACGCACTCCAGCATCTCTCACACACACACATTCTCTCTCTCCGTCTCTCTCTCTCTGTCTGTCTCTGTCTCTGTCTCTCTCTTTCTCTCTCTCTTTTTCTCTCTCTCCAGCATCACACACACCTCCCTCAGGCACCCGGAACAGCCCTGTGCCAAGTGTCCTGGGACGGGGACCGCCCGCAGCCAGCCATGGCGGGAACGTGTCCTGGAGAACAATGCCTCCCCACCACACCACCTGCGCAGACACAAGGAGCCATTGTCAGCCTGGTGCTCGCCACAGGGCAGCCTCTCAATAGCGCGGTGCAGTGCAGGCATGTGGGGGCGGAAGGCTGGCGGCTCCCCAGGCCCACCTGCTCCCACCCTCCCACCCCAGGACCCCACCTCCTCCAGAGCCTCCTGCCTGGTCCTGTAGACCCCAAGGGGCTTAACCCCCTGGTCCACCTTCCCTCCCCAACCCCTCAGGGCTGAGTAACTCACCTCAAGGGGCAGCTAGGGATTACAAGGGGTGGGGCCTGGTGGTCAGCATTGTGGAACGCAGATTCAAACACACATGCTGTGTGACCCTGGGCGAGTCACTTTGGCTCTCTGCACCTCAGCTACCTCACCTGTAAAATGGGCTCATGCTGTCAGCTGTCTCACAGGATTGGTGGGAGGATTAACTGAGTCAGAGCATACAAAACGCCAAGGCAGTGGGGACAGGCCTGAGATCCAGGAGGCCTGAGCTCCAGTGCCAGCCCTACTGCTTCCTTGCCATAAGGCCCTGGGCAATTGATGTCCCCTCTCTGTACATCGTTGTTCTCACCATGCAAATGGGGATGATCATTATCCCTCCCTCTGAGAGGTATCCATTCTGTGAAATGCTTACGCACAGCTGGGGTCTGGCACACAGTAGGCACTCAATCAGCGCTGGCCATGATCATTATCTTACATGGACTGGGGCTTGTTTATCCATTTATCCCTTCTTTGCATTCATCTGACTAGTGCTTTCTGTGTACCTACTATGTGCTGTGACCAGTGCTGAGCATCTCACCCTGAAGTCGCTCCGTCTCCCTAGGCCACAGTGGGCTCCTCACTGATGTTTGTTGATGGACTCAATGAGAGAAGGTGGTTCAGTGATTATCATCACTTCACACCCCGAGGAAATCAGCTCAGAGTGGTCACGTGATCCGGGTCAGCCTCTTAGGGGCTTGTGACATCTGGCCAAGGCCCTTTATAAAGCGGTACAGGCCCACCGGTCCCCACCCCGCGAGCAGGGCTGTGGTGAGGACAGAGCAGGGCACAAAGGGAGGGTGCCGCTCAGTGAGCGAGACGGCGCAGGGCCACCTTGGCAGAGGAGTCCCCATCTTTTTAGGACCTGCTCCTCCTTGTCCCCAGGTCTCTGCTCAAATGGAACCTCCCCGCTCCTAACCCCCACTGCCACGCCTATTGGTTTCATTAGCTCCACCTGACTTCAGATGATGTCTTTAGTGGCTTGTCTGGTTTTTTATCTCCTCCTGAACTGGGGTTTCTTGACCTTGGCACTCCTGACGCTGGGGCCAGATCCTCCTCTGCTGTGAACCACTGTCCTGCGCATCGTAGGATTAGTTTAGCAGCAGCCCTGGCCTCTACGCACTAGATGACAGTCGCATCCCCTCCCCCACCCAGTTGTGACACCACGAATGCCTCCAAACATTGCCAGTGTCCCTGCGGGACAAAATGGTAACCAGCTGAGAAGGGCTGGCAAGGATTTTTATCTGCTTGGCTTCTTGCCATCTGCCCCAGTGTCTGCAGTAAGCATTCAGTGCACACTCATCAAATGAATCTTGAACAGACGAATCCCACGGACGCTTGCCATTCCCCTGTCCCGGATTACCCTTCCGCCCCTTTGTCTGGTGGACTCCTAGTCACACTTCAAGGCCTTAGCAGGCACCGTGTAAGAGGAAAGTGGCTGAGCAGAGACTGGGCTGAAGAGGAGAGCACCTGCTCTGTGTCCCTCTGAGAGGGGCACCCCTGACGCACTCCGGCCTTCTATGTCGTACAGGAATGTGGGCCTACTAGTATAGCCGGATCTTCCCATTTTTTTCAAGAGAAGCCAGAGAAATGGATTTTATATGAAATCTCCTGGAATTTCAAATGTTGGCAACGGATTCACATTTTTAGAAAATACTTCAAGGGCCAAACCAAACATACTTCTGGCCTGGATTTGGCCTGTGGGCGGCCGGTCAGCAAGGTCTGCTCTAGGGGGTTCAATGGGTACGGTCACCTTCGAGTGTGATAAAATGGCAGGACACAGTCCTTCCTGGTGTCCCACTTGCATCTCCGTCTCCGTAGCAGTGTGGGAGGGGTCGTCACATAACAGGCAGCTCCGATGGGCAGAGGCAAAACCCCCAGCTCTAGGCAAGACCCACAAGCAACGAACGTCCCAGCCCACCCTAGACCGGCTGTAGACCCAGCTCAACCCAGGGTCGGGGGCAGATGTGTGGGTGGAGGGTCTCATCCCCAGGCTGTGGAAGACATTTGTGGCTCCAAAATTCCCATACATCAGGCTCAGGGGAGACCAGCCGTCATGCCAGGGCTATTTACCCCAGACTCTCTGGCCTCTCTAAGAAGTAAAATCAGGGAAACCAAGGCAGGACTGGGCCTAATGGTCTCTTGGGCAGGCTCGGAGGAGCCAGGAGGCAGACTTCTCTGGAAAGTCCCTCTCCTTCAGAACTGGTTGGGTGCCAGGGAGAGAGAACACCCGGGGTCTCCTAGTCTCTGAGGTTCCAGCCACATCCAGTAGCTCCTCAAGCCTCTGCTCTTCCTGGGATAGAACTTTCCAGAAACAGAAGTTGAAAAAGCCCCTCTCTGAGAACTCTGGGTCCCCTTCATGGGAACTGCGGGACTGCAGGACAGGGGCATGAACCCCGGTCCCAAGGCCCAAAGTTGGCCGGAGACCCTCAAAGCCAAAGCCAGCTCTCCCACCACCCATAACCCTCTCGAGGGTCTGAAGGGCTCCACCCACCATTTCCCTCAGCCAGACCCTACACCAGCCAGGCCCAGGTCATATCAGATACTGGTACCATCATTCAGGAGGCCGAGAGTCTCACAGACCAGACTTCAAAGCCTCACCTCTCTGTGTGAGCTGAGGCAGGCCACCTGGGCGCTCCAGCCTTGGTTCTGTATCCGTAAAAGGCATCCTTCTGTTGTAGGAAGTCAATGAGCCCGTGACACACGGCTGGTGCTGGAAAGAGAGAAAAGATAGTAACATTTAGTGAGCAAGTACTCTGTGCTGGTACTGAGCAATCTACACTCTTCATCCTCACCAAACAACCCTGCACTTGCTCACTCAATGAACATTTGATGAGTACCTACTATGTGCCAGGCTCTGGAGACTTAATGGAGAATGACATAGAACTGAACGAGCTTATTATAGTCTAGAATGTGGGGAGAAATCAACTCCCAAAATCATAACATCAAGTAGTGGGGGAAAAGTTAATGCAGGGTAAAGGGGCAAAGAGTAACAGGAGGAATTTAAAAGAGGAGGTCAGAGCAGGCCTCTTGGGGACATATAAACAGAGACCCAGATAGGGAGAAAGACGGGTATCTGGGGGAAGGATGCTGCAGGCAGCGGGAACAGCAAGTTCAAAGGCCCTGAGGCAGGGGAGAGAGAGAATAGAAGGAGATGAGGTTGTAAGGGGGAAGGTGGACCACGCAGGGTCTGCTAGGCCACAGGGAGGACTTCGGTTTTTCTGACAAGTGAGGTGGGAGCCACCTGAGGATTTTAAGCAGAGGAGGGTCATGAGCTGATTTCCTATTACTATCCCCATCTCAGAGATGAGGAAGCTGAGGATCGGAGAGATGAAGTCACTTGCCCAAGGTCACACAGCCATTGAATGGCAGAGGTGGAATTCGAACCCATATCTGTGTAACTTCCAAGGCCAGAATCTTTTTAATTCCTTGACTACCTCTGGTTCTGGCGTGAGTCAGGAGGCCGGATCAGATGGGGAGAGAGGGGACCTCTCGGAGCTGCTCTCTGCAGCCTTGTGCCTCTGCCTGACACACCACATCTCCTCCCCACTCATGCCCTCTCCCTTGCCCTCAGCCATTTCATAGCTGTCTGGGGCCTGGGTGAGCTCCTAATATTTAAGACCCTTCCTTCCCATGTGCAGACTAGATTTTCAGTGATGGATAAAAGAGGCCATTCAAAGGACCAAAGGAGGGTGACAGGCAAGGGCCCGGAGTCCCTGGGGCAGCTGTGACTCTGCCTCTAATTTGCAGAGTAGCTAGATGAATCCCCGGTCTCCAAAGTCATGTTTGCTTCAAGGATAATCACTTTCTTTTTCTTGTAAAAGGAAGAGAAATTGTCAGCTGGGTGGTTTCATTCTGAGCTTGTCGATGTCTTTCCAGTAACTGAAGAGCAGGGGCCGGGCCACTGCCTGGAGGCTGCCTGTGGAGGCTTCGGGGGGCCGTGGTTGATGCCACCTGGCCCCCCTTGCATCACCCCCCTCTCCGCACCCCTTCCGCCTACTCCTATAATTGTGGTATTTGGTTTCCCTTCTACACCAAATGTGAAACTCTCCTGGAGGTAATGCAGAAGGGAATCGGTGTCAATCTCTGAACTGTGGTTGAATGAAGGTATTCTTAGGCGCCTACTTGCGAGGGTGGTGAACTTCTGGTGCTAAAAGCAGAATTGCTTTTCAGTAAATGTTATTACTCAAAAGGAAGTTGTCACCACCGCCGCCACCTCTAGCCTCTTTCAACTGCCACTCTGTCTGTCAGGACCAAGGCGGGAGCGGGGTCTGTCAGCAGCTCCCAGTGACCCCACCAAGCCCCCGGGGGAAGCTCTGGCTGTCTTGGCTGACCCTGGCCCACTGAAGCTGAAGTTCAACACCCAAGGCCTGCCCAGGCATCATATCCCAAGGTGCCAGCTGTTTGCTGAATCAGCATTTAAGTCTCCAAGCTTGAATGTTCTTGGCTGGGTAGAGCTGGAGCTGAGGGTGGGATTGGGGGCACAAAGGAACGCTGTCATTTGACTGGTTCTTTTTTTTTTTAGAACTGTTGTCTATCTTGGCAACTTATCTCTCGTAACCCCTGTTTTCTCTTCTCTAAAATGGGAGATAATGACACCTCAACAGAAAGAGCTAAGCATAGTAATTGGCCGTAGTAGATGGTTAATAAATGGTAAGGTTATTGTGAATAGTGAAAACGACACTGGATTTAAGTCAGACAGACCAGGGTTCAGATCTCAGCTCCACCATGACAGGTTGCATGACCTTAGACAAGTCCATTGCCTTCTCTGAGCCTCAGTTTTCTCCTGTAGGAAGTAGGGATAATAACGATACCTATTGTGCAAGATTGCTGGGAGAATTAGTGAGTTAGAGCATGTAAACCATCAGGCACACAGTAGGTATGCAATAAGCACAAGTTCCATTCCTTCTCTTTCTTGACTTAGAGAGGCTAGCCCCTGGACTGTTGGTACACCTGAGCCATCCAGTCCACAGGGAATGGCTGAGTTCTGCCTTCACTGAGAAACTTCTATGAAAGTATACACCAGAATCTGGAGAGCAGATAAGACCCAACCAGGCTAACCTCAGTTCAGCCCCTTCAGGACACATTCTGATTGTGAGAAGGGACACAAACCACGGGATGGATGGACAGTCACAGTCCCAACCGACAGCTCTCAGATGACACCTCGAGTTCCCTTCCTCCACCTGCCACAGCCCTGAAAAGTAACAATTATGCGAATGAGCACTGTGCGTTTCATGGATCATCTCGTTGAGTCTCCACAGCGACCTCTCAAGACAGGTCCCCTCATTGCTCAGCCACTCGCAAGTGTGGGAGCTGAGGCTCAGGGAGGCGAGAGGTCTGGTCAGCTGAGATTTGAACCCAGAAACTTCATTGTCAAGCCACACACTTCACCACAACAATATGTCTAATGAGATTCTGATGGTGCCTCCATGTTACCAAAGACACCATTATATTCAGACATATCTGGATATAAAAAATTGTATTTGTGTTCTTCAATAATTTTTTTTTATTTTGAGATTATCGTAGATTCACAAAAAGTTGGAAGAAATAAACGGAGAGACCCCACGTCCCCTCTCCCCAGTTTTCTCTAGTGATGACACCTTGCGGAACCATAGAACAACATCACAACCAGGATGTTGACCCTGACACAGCCAAGATGCAGAACATCTCCGACACCCTTTCACAGCCCACCCTGAACTCCTTGCCCACCCCCAACTCTGTCCCCGACCCCCGGCAACCACTAATCTGTTCTACATTCCTATAATTAATTGTATGAGCTCAAGACTGTCACATAACTGGAATTATATGGCATGCAAGCCTTTGGGATTGACTTTTTTTACTCAACATAATTCCCTAAAGAGTCATCCAAATTGTTGTGTGAATCGATATTTGGTTCCTTTTTATTGATGGATAGCATTCCATAGTATGGATGCACCACAGTTTATTCGCTGTTGAAAGGCATCTGGGGTGCTTCCAGGTTTTGCCTGCTATGAATCAAACTACTATGAACACTTGTGTACAGGTTTTTGCATGAACACAAGTTTCCATTTCTATGTCCAGGAGTGTAATTTCTGGGTCATATGGTAGTTTTTAAGAAATTGCCTAACTGTTTTCCAGAACATTGTACCATTTTACATTCCCACTAGGAATGTGTGAGTGATCCAGTTTCTCCAATGCTCGTCAGCATTCAGTGTTCTCATCATTTTTTGTTTTAGTCATTCTGATAGGTGTGCAGTAATATCTCATTGTGGTTTTACTTTGTATTTCCTTAATGGCTAATGACATCGAAATTCTTTTCATGTGCATATTTGCATCTGTGCATCCTCTTCAGTGAAATGTCTGTTCCTGCCTTCTGTTCATTTTCTAATTGTATTTTTTTAATTGCTGATTTTTTAGTGTTCCTGATACATTCTAGATACTAGCCCTTTGTCGGATATGTTGTTTGCAAATATTTTCTTTCAGACTGTAGTTTGTCTTTTCATCCTCTTAAAAGGCCTTTCACAAAGCGAAAGGTTTTAATTTTGATGAGGCACAACTTATCAATTTTTCCTTTTATGAATCATGATTTTGGTGTTCGAGTCTAATAATTCTTTGCCTAGCCCTAGACCCCAACGATTGATTTTCTTTTAACTATAAAACCTCCGTAAATGTTTTATGTTTTACATTTAAGTCTATGATTCATTTCGAGTTAAATTTTATACAAGATCTGAGGTTTGAGTCAAGAATTTGCTTTGTTTTTTGTCGTTTTCTTTTGTTCTGTTGCCTACAGATGTCCGATTGCCCCATCAAGATTTACTGAAAAGGTTATCTTCCATTGCATTTCTTTTCACCTTGTCAAAAATAAGCTGGGCATGTTTGTGTGGGTCTATTTCTGAGTCCTGTACTCTCGGCCATTGATTCTATGTCTATCCCTCTGCCAATACTACGCTGCCTTGATTACTGTGTAGTAAACTTTAATATTGGGTGGAATGATTCCTCCCAGTCTATAGGAAATTGTACATCATATTTTAATTTATTGACAAATGGGGTGGCAAAGCTCTGTTCCTCAACTTATTCATTTAAAAAGAGAAGACTGAGGCAGAGCTGGCCACGTGGCTGCCAAAGAGTCATGCTCCTCCTCTAAAGTGTAGAGTGGTAGGTAAGTAGCTGCCCAGCCAGGTGACTACATTTCCCAATTGCCTTTGCATCTAGGTGGCACCATGTGACTAGTTCTGGCCAATGGAATGTGAGGAGAAATGTATACATGTGTGTCATTCAGGGTGGATGGGTCCTTCTCCACCGTCTCTCTTCTCACTGGCTGGATGTTGATCCCCAGGGTGACTTTGGAAGCTACCAGTTGAAGATGGCAGAGTCCCCATTAGTCAGGATACCTGAATGACTATGTGAAGCAGAGCTCTTTCTCCGTGTGGCCATCCCAACAACCAACAATGTCTGCGTTTATAAATGAAATGTTATAACACTATTAAATTTTAAAAGTTAAAATAAAAAATACAACATATAAAATACCTATCCATGTACAACTGAAACGATTTCATATATCCCTGACATAGTCACAGTTTGGGAACTATATAGTCTAAACCCTGTGTTATATGCTAGTCCACGTTCCTCCTCCTTCAACTAGGAAAACAGAAGCCCAGGGAGGGGAGGGATTTGCCCAAGGTCACACATTAAATCCAGGGCTGCATCCAAGTAATTCCACTAGTTAAATATAAC